ATAATATAATATAATATAATATAATATAATATAATATAATATAATATAATATAATATAATATAATGTAATAATAATAATAATAACAATAATACAATTTGCAATACCTGAAAAATCAGTATCGAGCTTGTAAAGTACGGTAAGTACATTTATTTCCAGAACAGTTTTTCGTCGGTATCTCGGAATTGAAGGAACATAGCGATTTTTTTGCATAACCATTTTTTATGAAGAAAGATGAGAGCTACAAAAAAGGTATCCATAAAAAATCCACTATCTCCCTTCAATTCCGAGATATCGGCAAAAAACTGGACTGAAAAAAAACGTACTTACCCTAGTTTATTAATTGAAAGCAGAAATGATCTGGAGATCATTTCTTCCCTATTTGAAATTACCTCCAAAGGTATTTTCTTTTGATAAGAATCTGATTAAGAATTGCTGGTGAAAATATACTGTTTCCTCAGTGTGAATCAATGGTAATGAGATTGCTGATGCGTGCACCTACTGTGAGTGCTATACCTTTGGTTGTAGAATTTATTAAGGATTCAGGAGGCCGAAATGAAGGCCATGGCTATCCAGTGGTAGGCGTTTACGTGGGGGTTGTGAAGGAGTTACCCGACCAACGGTTTGTGGTCACCAACTGACCACTCAGTTCGATCCCGGCTGGCCCGTGGAAATAGTCTAGTACCACAACTTCAATTACTAATTAATTAATTAACATTCTGGCTGGACCAGAACTCTCTCTTAATCCCCTCAAAATTCGAAATTTTAATAAATATAAATATAAATTATTTCACCTACTCCAATTAGTTATTGTTATACCAATAAAACACGTGGGATAAATTAATTTCGGTGGAATATTTCATGAATATTTCATTCGTAAATTCTTTGATTGGAGAATTATTTTTGGTGAATATTCGCCAAATGATTCGTGAAGAATATGTTATAGTGGTTGATTCGCAATTATTCAAGGTTATCACCTTGTGCTACTGAATAAAAATCAGAAAGCTCGATTTGAATAAAAGAAGATGAGCATCCTCTTCTTGGCAAGACTCGCCCTGAAGAGCGTCGGCTCCAAGTGGAGGCACTCCAAACGGGTCATGTTAAAGAAGCACAGATACCAGCGTGGCTTCTATTAAATTATCACGTTAAATTCTGTTTATAAACCACCAATAACAAAATTTAGGCTCATGAGTTGAAATTCTTCGTTTACTATTTCGTTTATTTGTAATTCGTCGTTTATCAATGGATTTCGAAACACGAGCATTGATTCGATTATGTTTCTCCACCGGAACTATCACTCGCACCAGGTAGATCTCTCCTCTTATTACGCGTAATTATAATTACAATTGCAGACTGATTTCCTGAGGAGATCATACAAGAATTTTCTTTACACATGAATATGAATTTCATTTGTGTATCAAAATATTTCTTGCAATTTGCGCAATTTGATTGTCTTTGTGGAGTTTTTAAATTGTGATAATGGGGAATGATTCTTTTAATTCTGCACAAAGGATAATGGAGAAGAGTATTCTTTCAAGTGTTGATCATCAAACACCTGCGGTTAATCAGTGATTTTATCATTTATCTAAAAAGTCTATTTTATTAAAAATACGTGAACAACCTCGATAGTCTCGTTATCTCCTCCGAAAACGGAGTATTCTAACATATA